TCCCTACAGGTGAGGACAACTCACCTGGGAGCCCTCTAGTTAGCACATTGGTTCAATCAGACACAATTCATCAGCTACCCATAGCTTCTCTCAGTGCAAAGCCAGCATCCAATCGAAATACACCCCCCAAACGGACAACAACACCTCTAAGCTGCCTGCTGATATTTTAATGTTGTGACTGGATCATCACCTGCATCAGAACAATTTCTGTAACTGCACTCCAGCAAGAAGCACACAGCAGGGACTCCTCACTGCTCCGGGAAAACACGTGTACAAGAGGGCACCACAAATGGAAACAGAAGTATTTTCCACAGGATGTATGTGTACAGAGGAGGCGGCCAAACTCTGTACAATGGCCTCTCCTGCTTTCACTGTGAGCGGAGAGAGAGGACAGCCTGTGCTGACACAGGCAGGAGCCACTGCTGACACAAACAGTTCCTCTTTGCTGTTAGTCCACTGCTGCAAGAACAGCTTTAATACTTTTTTTTTAATGTCATTTCTAATTTTTTTTGTGTCTCTCAAGCTCGCACCAGAGGACAAACTAAATGGTATCACAGCTTGCTCCTATGCAAGACAACTGGTCTCATCATCACAAACACAATTTCTTACTGCAAAATATCAGAGCTACCAGGGCTGCCTCCCTTCTCCCACCTACGGCAGCCAAGCAGCTCGCTGCACTTGTTCCCCTCAAAAGCTGCAAACTTCTAGTTGACAAATACTCAATATTAATCACCACAGAAACTTGCCTGTGCATCTGTATAGATAATGTCATAATTGACATTCACTTAATTCTGACAGAATAAGCTACACAAATGACTGAGCTCTCATTCTTCTCCACTGACACTGCCCCAGCTGTTTGGTGTTTTTTTTTTTGTTTTTTTTTGGATGAATTTTAACTTGCAGGAAGGGCATTTTGGTACTGCCAAGTCCCCAAAACATTATGATACTGTCAGTTCAACAATACACTGCTGCTGATGAAAAGGATTGACTGCCCTTGAGTAAGCACATGCAGCCAATGGTGAGAGAAGAGTGAGCCCACCACATCGCAAAGGCCGCTGTGTGCTACAAAAACCCAGACAGCAATCAAGACCCCAGTACGTATTACTTCTAATAAAGACAAACTCTCCAAGGGAAAACTTTTTTATTTCTTTTTTTTTTTTTTTTTTTTAAAGTAAGAAAGGTATTTTAAAAGTCACCTATACAAAATGACACATGTAAAATGAAACACTTTTTTTTGTTAAGTTGCTAGGTAAGGGAAAAAAAGGTCTGAGCAAAATCGTTAAAAACAAAACCCAAGTTCAGGTCCCAGATTGCCCCACGAAGAGGAAAAAAGGCAGTAAGAAAACTATCTTCACAGTTCTCCACCTCTTCCATAAAACAAAGTCTTGTAACTGAATGAAACTAGTCAGAGAAGTTTCATAACATTTTCTAATAACATACCTAGGCTAAACAAAGCACAAATACAACAGACTTTTGCTTTTACTTCCTGGAACGTAATTCCTTTAGACACAAGAGACAAAAGAATTACTCAAACTGTGAATAACATGGAAAAAACAAATCAAAACAAAAACAACCCAAAAATCCAGGAACTGCTTATGCCCAACTTCCAAAACTGAGTCTACTGCAGGTAGGCTGACAACAAAGAGTGATCTGAAGTAGTGGCAAAGCACTAAATCAAGAAATTACACATTTATTCTGCATCGCGTTTTAACCAGAAACTTTCAGCATACCCTTCAGTCTCGTGAGACAGGCTGTTCATTTTTCTGTATCAAGTCTGAAGTAGACGTAAGCAGGGCCACAGCCTCTCCCACTTACACACAACATCCTGCTTAGTGTCAGAAGTCCAACAAATATGTGAACTGACTTATATTTATTTTTTTAAATAAAAAGTTTTCCATAGATCTGAAACTCTGTTTTTTTTTTTTAAAGCCAAAACAGATCACTCTTGTCCAGAAAGGTAAAGTAGATCATTACGTTGTATGAGAAACACCTTAGGCACAAAAAGCAAACTAACAAAACAAAAACAACCTCCTGCTTCTCCAAAAGGCTGTGAAGCAAACTCATTTAGAAATTCACAACTTATGAGTGAACAGGCAGGACAAACTTATAAAAAGATAGCTGCAAAATTGTTCTCCTCTGAGGATATTTTAAGTTGTCCCCTAGGCTCTGTTGCTGCTCAAGTATCTTAAACCTGTGAAATGCAGCTGTCCTACAAAGAAGGCTCTCAGGAACTTAGCTCCATTAAATCTGCTGAATGAGAAAAAGTGGCATCTTAATTAGAAACCTTTTTCCAAAATAACTCAATGAAGAAACAAGCATCTTTATCGCTTATCCATATTGCTTAGCTAAAACGCAGCTGCTCCCTCCCGCACCCTTAGGGTCCTGCATCTCACACTGCAGTGCAACCAGGAGAAACAACACGACAACAACCGCCACAATCCAGCCTTTGTCTGGAAAGGTGGTGGACAATCTCCTGGCCAGCGCCCAGCAGAAGCAGTTGCTCTGTGATGTCAGTTATTTGCCTTTTAAGTGCTGAATTAACAAAGCCTGTCTGTTACCGATAAGGACGCGACAACTTCGAAACCCAGCTCTCCGACCGTGGGCGAAACGCTAAAAATAAACGCGGCTGCCGAGGCGGACGGAGGCGGTCCGGGGGCCGCGACCCGCCGCCCAGGCTGACAGCCCACGCACCACGGCCACCCAGCACCGAGCCCCGGCGCTGCCCGGGCAGGCGGGGCGGCCCCCGGCCGGTACCTGCGGCGAAGTGCAGCGGGCTGGACTTCCTGCCCGCCGTGTCCCGGCTGTTGACGTTCTCGGGCCGCACCAGCCGCTTCACCCGCTCCACGTCCCCGTTCCTGCAAGCCTCGAACAGCTCCCGGGCCGGCTCCGCCGCCGCCGCTCCGCAGCCCGGAGCTTCAGCCAAGGCGGCCGCGCCGCCCGCGCACCGCCGCCCCGCCATGCCGGGCCGGGCCGGGCCGGGCCCAGCAGCCCGCGGCGCCCCGCTCACAGCCCGCGGCCCTCGGCGGCGGCGGCCCTCGGCGCAGGGCGCGGGGCGGGGCGCGGGGCCCGGCGCATGGCGGTGGAGGGGTGCGGACGCAGTGGACGCAGCAGCGGCAGCGGTAACAGCAGCAGCGGCGGCAGCGGCAGCAGCACCGCCGCCCTCGGCCTCGCTGCAGCAGGAAGGGGCGGGCACCTGGCGCAGGGCGCACGCGTCTAGCGAAGGGACAGGCATGCGCACAGGGCGGCGCCATGGTGGCGCGGGGGCCTCGTGTGAGGGCTGTGAGAGGACGCAGAGCGGGCCAGGGCTGAACAAATTTTTTTTTTTTTTTTTTTTGTTTTGTTTTTGTTTTTTTGTTTTTTTTTTGGTTGGTTGTTTTTTTTTTAAATATTCATTTTTGTTTGTTTGTTTTTCAAGGCAGGATGAATGAAGTTAACATTTATACTAATGATTTCAACCATTAACTTCTGTGTTCCAGTGCTTAGCAAAACATCAACATACCAAATAATCTGCACTCAGTATTACAAAATATTTTCTTAACCATATTTCTAGGGCAGATGTTATTGTTATAAATGAAGTCTCAACTCAATCTGAATTTAGGAATATTTATAAAAGGAATATTTATAAAAGGTATAAAAGGCAAGTAAACAGTGCTGGTTGTGCGGGGAGTCTACGCTCCACCAACACGCACACACGAACATCAAACATTCTAAATATACAGAACATTGCTTTTACATGCTAAACTCGAGTATGCCTATACAATCAGAAAAGGTAACAAACAATCCCTTAAGTTCCATGACTTAACAGTCTCCATTTCCATTCCTTTATTACAAACAAGTCTCCGTTTTTCATTTCTTTGAACAATACGTCTTGCTTTAAGTTGTCAAGCAACGCAGTCTTTGGGCCTTATGTATCCCGTTCTTCCCGGATCAAAGACAAGCATATCCATCTCCTTTTCAAGGCCAATAGGGCCTGGGCCAAAAGGCACGTCCAGGTCACCAGGGGGCGTAACAGCAAAAGCGTTTGATGGCTGTAGCAGCGGAGGGGCCCATGGCACAGCAGTCGGATCAGTAGAGGAGCCCGCAGCTCCCTCACTGCCTGGCAAACCACACGTTTGTGATTGTGGTCCCACAGGGCTCTTTAAGGCCTCAGAGACTGCTTGCCAGGTGCCGAGCAATTCCGCAACAACCTTGTCGTTTTTAGTTGCAGAGTCCCACACCTTGACCTCAATTTGGTCCCATGTTTCAGGATCATAAACTGTCTGATTGTTAATAAGGAGAATAAGCTGTAAGGTTACCAGGACAGTCTTTGTTCCTAAGGACATATGATTCCCCATAATGCGCAACTGCTTACCAGCAAGGGGCAATTGTATGCTCAGGTCTGCTTCTCTCAGCTTGAGCTTCTTCCCAGCTCCAGTGTGCCTATTTCCAGAGACTTTCTCTATGAGCTTCTTTGAGCGGTTTGCTCAGTATGGCCGAACCTATCTTCATGAGGTGATCAATGTGCCTGTTCCCGTCCTGGTCTCTGTCATGCTTGCCTGTTCCTTTTCATTCCTTCTTTCTGCTTCTTTATTGATGACATAACTTCATCATCTTCATCATGTTGCCTTTTTTTTTTTTTTTTTAAATCTTGAGGGCAGGCTCCCCTGTTATACCCTTCTCCCCAGAGCAGTTCTTTTCAAAACAACTCTTCACTGGTCAAACAACTTTGCAAATAACAGCAACGGCAAACACCCAGAAACTTCCATGCCTTGACTCCTGGAGAACAAGCAACCCGAGACTGCATGGAGTCTCCTTCTTTGTTACCTCTAAACTCTTTTACGTTCCTGATGGCCTCATTGTTAAGAGTCTTATGTTATCATCAACCATGGGGCTTGCTGACCCCCATGGCCACACTCCCACATCTCCCCCTTTCTTTATTAATACCAACCATTTTCTCGACACGAGTTACCATTCTATGTATAACAGAACTAAATGGCGCAATCAAAGAAAAGCCTTATATATTTATGTAGTGAAATATGTTTATCAGAAGGAAGTGCTTGAATAATTACAAAGTGGAAATAATACAATATAAGTTAAAAGAGAGATTGGGATATACTGTTAACTGACTTTACCAGTTCATGGTTTTGGAGAAGAACAGAACATCTTTCTCTGTCCCATAAGGCTCACAAGCTAACTAGAAAGGGATTAACTTGGTAATATTTTAATTGTATTTTTCTATTGATGCTATAATATGTAAATAAAAGCACTTTGGAAAAGGTAGTTGATGAAGGTCACGAGTGCCCTGTTGCAGAGACAGAAAAGCACCACATCATCTTTCCTCTTCAAAATGTGGGCTTTCAAAGAGGTGGTGTCAGTGGGGACGCCAGTTGACCACAGGCACCTCCTGGTGTGGTGCAGGTGGGGAATGGGAGGTACCGTGTCTTCCCTGTGAGCCCCAGTCTTCTTGTGAGGGCATGTGCCAAAGCAACTCAGAGAAGCCTGATGTATTTATTTATTACATCTGGCAAAATACAAGCAGTCTGTAAGAGGAAAAGAAATCAGAAGACACTCCTAAGAAATGCTTCTCACTTCACCCATGTAAAGTGTGTCATCTCCATGATGTCAGAAGTGTGGAAAAACAGGACCTGTGGAGAGAAAAAATATTTTATTAGTCGTATTAGCATAGTTGGGGAAAAAAAAAAAGGACAAGCTTTTGATGGCAGAAATAGCAAATGCATTGTCTTGAAATTGTCTGTTTCCTTTTCAAAGCAGAAGAAGGGGTTGTGTCTGTGGAAGCGTAAATGTCTGTGTCCATACAAACACTGTGATGCCCAGGCCCTCTGAAGAAGTTTAGAACTATAACTTATTTTTACTAGTTCAATATAAACTCTAGCTATGTTTCTTTCTTTGGCAAAAGCTATTATGAAATGCTAATGGAGATAAATGAGAGTTTGAAGAAAACCTTGACTATAAAATGTATGCTATTTTGGATCTAAAATAGAGAACGTGTTTCTTTCTACATCACTATGCTAGAAATATGCTATTTTTTCTAAATCACCTATAGCCTAACTTTCTTTTCCAGTATGGTTTCCTGACAGGTGGAGTGTAAAACTATGGCAGGTCTCTGTGAATAGAAAAATATTTTAAAACATACTCCAAGAGCAGGATTCAAATAGCCTTGAGTTCAGTGAGTCAAAGACTTACCAACTTTCAGGATTGGCATACCAATCCTGAATCTGTCACCCTGACTTTTCAGATTCACATAACGTAAAATCTTTTATTTTATTTTTATTTCTTTTAGGAGATAATAATCTGTAAAATTCAGCGGTGTCTTTTGGTCTTCTGATGGGCTTTTTCTAGAGAAAGCAGGGGCTGTGGCTCCACTGTTACCAGCAGCATCCAAGAGGCTCACCATTAGCACCTCACAGGACCATGACTGCCATTTTGGCGCTGTCATTTGTGATGTACCAGTAGCTCTACCTCTGCCTCACATTTATTTCAATGGCACGACCTGCTCTAATAGAGACATTAGAGTATTTTTGTGGGTCCTGGAGCAATTATGTAGAAGCATGCTTGGTTGGTCGCTAGAGGGCAGGAAAGAAAAGGGGAGGTTGGGTACACTCGGCCTGGTGAGGCCTCCTCTTAGGCCCAGGGCTGGCCCGGCCCTCACCTCCCAGCCCTTGGCTCTGCGAGGACTTCGCAGTGCTTCCTAACCGTTTCCTTAGCGGTTTGCCTTGCTCTAGGATGAAAAGTAAAATTAGTAGGACACTTCGAGTGGTCAGATATTTAACTTATTGCCGAAGAATTCAAAAACCTACTCCTTTTGAAGTATTTCTGTGTGAGACTTGGCAAAACAACCAAACCAAAACTGAAATTCAACAATCATTAATGCTGTACATCAGGAAATTATAAAATGTGTGTATAAAGAAATGAAGAAAATAATTTTGAAGAGAAGTAGCCTGTTTAGTTACTAAATTTTTAAAACTGAACAGAGACTTTATCAAGGCAAACTAGTTTTTAAAAATAGAGTGATCAACTTAATAATAAGAGCATACTACAAAATGAAAGCAGTACAGCTGTACAACAGTGGATGTAGGCACAACAATTGCTTTAAAGGAACTTAACTTTCTCCTTCCCCTTTGCTTCCTACCTATCACGTATTTTGGCTGCTCATCTTAAACAAGCAGGAGCTAGTTCCTTTCCCCTGTCAGTCCACCTATGTAGTTACTGGTTTTGTATGAGCCAGCTTTGTTTTACCAGCAGGTGGAGGTAAAGTGGAAAATATAAAACATTGTTCTGGAAAAAAAAAAAAAAAAAAAAAAAGGGAAAACAAACAAACAAATAAAATGAAAAGAAACTTGGAGATGCTGAGCGTGAGCATCGCAGATGATCAAATACATAGCTAAGTGGTCCCTCCAGGAGATGGGGCTACAGCTGCAGTGCTGACAAGCTGTAATGGTAGGCGACATAGTCATTTAAATGCTGTATCTGTGTATGCAGCAACCGCCAGAACAGTCCAACAACGTGGTGACCAGCTGTGAAGATGACAGTTCACATGATACATTTAGGGAAGATTCTTGTTAGCAGTAGGGAGAAGCTTGTGTTCCTGACAGCAAAAGCACAGAAAAGCATGTTGGAATTCATGGAAACTGGATTACTTTAAAAAAAAAAAAAAAAAATCTTTTAATCCCGAATTGGATTCTTGTGATTTTAATCTCGAATTGGATTCTTTTGATGTCTTTAAAATTATTCCAATTCTCCCATCAGAGGCTACTAGGCAGACACATACATGGAGGGCTTAGTGGGAGCTTTTGTTTGCTTTTCTGTAGTGCCTCAAACATGTCTGAGAAGACAGAGAGCTTTTATAAAAGCACAGACTCTGCACGTACAAAACCTAAGTACGTGGACTGCCAGCTTGGGAACATGGCAGAGGCCTGGAGAATTGTTATTTGTTGTTAGGAAGAAAGCCACAAACAGCAGTAGAGGAGTAGAGCCAAAGATAGGCATTGACTAGGGATGCTAGCAAAACATATCCATTTATATCTCTGAGGTATGATAATAGGAAAAAGCTAAAAGGAAATACAGGCAAACTAGAATGCCTATTCAACCATGCCATATTCAGCTTTTCTGAAGATAACCAAAAGCAAAAATAAAGTTGGATACCTAAGTATCTTTGCTTAGAGTCTATCTAGAAATGACTGAGATGGGAAACAGTAATTCTCTTGGAAAATTCATTTTAACAGGAGAAAAAAATCAGAGGAGCTAGAAGTAATGAGAGAATTTCCATGCATTTAAATTGCAGGTCAAGTGACATTATTTGAACAGAATTTCATATTTATTTCCTGTCCCAACTGAAAGAAAAAAAAAAAACGCTTTGGGCATGTTCAAACATTTTCACAATTTATCCTGGCATTTAACAGAAGTGCCCAGGTTCTCTATGCAATTAACAAGGCAAGCTGGATTCTAATTGATGGGCTCTTAATTGCCCTTTGAAGTACTTTACCTCTTTCTACTGATCGTATAAGAAGCTTATACCTTTACATTGGATACCTAAATTTCTTGCTCATAGTATGTAATGTAAATACCATGCAGAGCATGCAGTGTGAAGAAAAGGAAAGAAGCAAATAAGTCTAATCATTTTTTTAAAAAGTGGTAGTGTGCTGCTCCAACTACTTGCACGTAGATTGGCAAAATGTTACTTCAGGACAAATCTCTGAGAAGCGATTTCTCAAGAATTCAAATTATGGCTTCTTGGAACAGCTAGTTCCGTAATCTTAAAAAAAAAAAAAAAAAAAAAAAAAAAGCTATTCTATTCTTGACTTAAGCTGAAGCAACACAGTTACTTGGTTCAAGAATTAACTGTAGTTTCATCATGAAGTGAAAATGATCAAGTCCAATGAATTTCAACATTTTCAATGGAAGGTTTCTACTGAAAACTTGGCATAGCACTGATTCAGAAGAGGAATTGTGATGAAAAGAGGGAATATGGTTAGTCATTAAAATCAGATATGAAAAAAGACTGTGAAGTATATATTATGCAGATTATAACTGAGTGACAGTAACTAGGAAGTAAGTTCAAAAGGTTATGGGATTCAAACTCCAATGACCATAAATTGTCAGTAAAAAAAACAAAACAAAACAAAAAAAAAACACAACATTTTTTTAAAAAACAGGAAGACTATGAGAAGTGAATACAGTTAGTGTGCTAAGCATCATTTATCATGGAGCTAAACTAGCACGTGACAACAAGAAGCTTCTCCTTTGGGATTATTTTTTCAACATCTTACTTCTTACTGTAGCCAGTAATAATTTCTCAAGAAGGGCAAACAGATATCCTTGGAGGAAAAAGTTTTCTGATCCATTAAAACAATTCTTACATTCCTATATGGAAGGTTTAAAACCTGCATCATGACAGCTTGTGGTTGGGTTCTACTGCAGGCCACCAGATCAAGGAGAGCCTGTGTATGAGGAATTCTTGCTTCAACTACAATAAGTCTTGTGCTTGCACGCTCTTATCCTGATGGGGGACTTCAACTACCTGTATGTCTGCTGGGAAAGCTACACAACAAGCTGTAAGCAATCTGGAAGATTCCTAGAGTGCGCTGAGGATAACTTTGGTCCAGGTACTAGACAAACCAACCAGAGGAGAAGCATTACTTGACCTGGTGCTCACCAACATGGAAGAGCTCATTAAAGAGGTCAAGAGTGGAGGCAGTCAGGGCTGCAGTGACTATGCCTTAGTTGAGTTTGTGATCTCGAGGAATACAGGCCTGGCAAAGAGCAAAGTCAGGACCCTGAACTTCCGAAAACCAAACTTCAAGCTATTTAAAGACATAGTAGCTGAGATCCCCCAGAACACTGTCCCTAGGGACAAAGGAGCTGAGCAGAGCTGGAGACTCTTTAAGAATGTTTTCCTTAGAGCACAAGAACTTGCCATCCCCCTGCATAAAAAAAACCAGGAAGGGAGGACAGACAACTGGGATGGCTGAGCAAGGACCTGCTGGTCAAACTAAGGCACAAGAAGGAAATGCACAGGCAGTGGAAACAAGGACATGTGGCCTGGGAAGAGTACAGGAATGTAGTCTGTATGTGCAGGGATGGAATAAGGAAAGCCAAGACATGGATGGAAGCGAGCTTGGCAAGGGATGCAAAGAACAACAGGAAGGGATTCTGTTCTTCCATTGCTCAGAAAAGAATGGCCAAGGAGATTGTACCCCCTCTGATGGATGAGAAGGATGAACTGGTAACAACAGACATAGAGAAGGCTGAGGTACTCAACAACTTCTTTGCCTCAATCTTCACTACTAGTTAGGCTTCCCAAGGCTTTCATTTCCTTGAATCTGTAGATGGACACTGGGGGAGCAAAGTCCCACCCACCACAAGTGAAGAGCAGGATCAAGATCACCTGATGAAACTAGACAAGTCTATGGGGCCTAATGTCATGCATCCCAGGGTTGCCAAACCTCTCTCCATCATATTTGAAAAGTCCTGTCAGTCAGGTGAAGTCCCCGGTGACTGGAAAAAGGGAAACATCACTCCCCTTTTTAAAAAAGGGTAGAAAGGAGGACCCAGGGAACTACAGACCACTGAGCCTCACCTCTGTGCCTGGCAAGATTATGGAAAAGATCCTCCTGGAAGCAATGTC